TTCCTTGCTCCCTTGCCTTTCATGTAACCTGCTTCAAATTATTTGGAGGAAGTGTTGTATCTTAATAAAGTTATTAAAAAACAACAACAACAACAACACTGAGGTTATTGGGGGATGATGGGAGTGGGCAAATGGGTCCCTAATTTGCTCTGACCTTCAGACACAGGAGGGGATCTGGTAGAGGAAGTTGGGGAGAGGGGAAGGGGTTAGGTCCAGCTTCATGGTTTCCTGGCCACCAGCTTGGGCGGAGACGACCAAGATCCAGTGTGCCCCATCCTGCTGCTGCTTTACCTGGGGCTCGGCGTCTTGGACATCACCAGCTCTACTGGGGTTCTGCTGTTTCTGACTGGGAAGCTTTTGAGGCCTGCTAGGTAGTCATGGAAGTCCCGAAGCCTGGGCCCTGCTGGGCAGGACACTGAGGCTGGGCTCACAGCAGACTGTGCTCAGTTACTCTCTGTCAAACAGGAAAGAAACACTTGGCTCAGCTACTTCAGGGAAGGCACAGGGCCACCTCAACTCTGGGTGACAGGACCATCCTGTCCACTGTCTGAGATTACCAAATGTTTTCCACAGATGGGGACCTTCAGATCCAGAGTAAAGAATCCTACTTTAATTTGTGAATTTTTAATTTGTGAATTTGTCTCCCTTTTAATTTGTGAATTTACAAAACCCTATTGCCTTTACCAAAAAGGAAACCTTTGTGGCTGTTTTTTTTTTTTTGGCAACAATTTTATAAATTCTGGGAAATTTTGGAATTAAAGGTTCATTTCTTTGGCTTAAACATTGTTCTCTATAAAAAGCTCTGTGAGGAAAATACTTTCAAATGTCAATTTTTGATAGTGTGGATGGCAGAAGTCTGGGGCAGGGCCTCCCTATGCCTCTGGTCTGGACCCCTCATGGCCTAAGTGAGGGTGATGGCTAATTACCCTCTCACACGGGGCACCAGGAGCCTGAGGCTGAGGCCCAGCCCGACTGAAGCGGGCAGTCCTGCTACTTTATGAGTCGGCCTTACCCAGAGCTTCTTGGACTTTAACATCAACTCATCATCTCTGGTGACTGTTAGGCCCGGTGCTTTCCAAGAAGACCCCACAATATAACTGCTCACGCCCAGAATGTGTTCTGGCACCAGACTCTTTACTGCTCCTCAAGTCTTGGAAGGATCTCACTCAAGGTCAGACTTTTCTTAGGAACGAAAATTAACATTTTCACATCAAGTTAGCACTAATATTGGATGTTTCCAAATGTTGAGTAAGAACGTGTGGGGATAGATAGATGTTTCAAGCTCTCAACTTTTTTTAATAAAAAGATTTTATTAATGCATACAGAACTGGTGTACAGGGTGAGGACTCACCAGAGACAGAGTGGGGAGCAGTACAGGCACATCGATGAAGTGCACTGCTGAGGGGAGCAGCAGGCGGGTCAGGAGAGGTCTGCCGTGCCGTGTGGGTCACCTTCAGGCCGGGGACTGAACTCACATCTAAGCGGCCATGGCCAGCTTTGCAGTGTTGCGTCCTAACCTGTTGTGCCACCAGGGAGGGCCAAAACTTTAGGCCTCTCATCGGATGGCTGTGTGGTGTGCCAGCCAGCCCCAATTCAGTCCCTGTGTGCTTGTGAATGCACATGTGAGACGTGAAAAAGCCCATGCTCTGGGTGTGGCAAGCCCTGGGCACAGATCTTGGCGTAATCCTAAGGCCACGTGAAAACACTGGCCAGTGGAGGGGCTGCCCGTGGGCTCAGGACTTACCTGGAGGTCACTTTAAAAACAAGCGGCAGATCTTCTAGAGACAGAGATCAGTTTCTTTCCGCGGGAAGCTGCCCATTCTCTCCCTCCACACAGGGTGGTGGTGAGCATCAGAAACAAGGGTATAAAGTGTAGCGTACAGTGTCTGGTGCCGAGCAGCCATTTAATAACTGGTAGTTGGATCCATTTCTTAAAGGCTAAATAAATTCAGAGGACATTTGAGTGGAAGCCTGGTTAATTTAAACTTCACCAACAGAGCCTCCTGGTGGCACAGGGTTAACACAGTGCTGTCAAACTATCGCCAGCCACTGCGGTTTGAGCTCGATCCCGCCCTGCAGCTGCTTCATATAGTTGGCAGACCTCTCCTGACTCGCCTGCTGCTCCCCTCAGCAGTGAACTTCGTCTGTCTGTCTGTACTGCTCCCCACTCTCTCTGGTGAACTCTCTCACCCCTCCCCTCTGGCTTACACCCCAGTTCTTGCATAAATACAACCTTATGCTCTCACACCCTCTCCTTCCATCCATTTCAGATCAGCCTGCCACATCTGTATGTTGGCTCTGCCTCTTAGGAGAAGTCTGACCTGGCCAAGTTATTTAATCTCTCTGTGCCTCCGTTTGTTCACCTGTAAAGCGGGGATGTAAGTCATACTGTGCAAACACCGTCTAGGCTAACACAGCAAGTCTCTGAGGACAGTCCCTGCAGCACTGAACGGGTATTGTGGGCAGCATATAAATACAGCTGCAGACAAGCCATAGTTCTCATCAACAAGAGCCAGGGAGGCCTCAGGGTAGCGTGAGGGATCCAGCCTGTCCTCGTTTGACGTGTCCCTGGTTCCCTCTTGGTAGATGAATGTTACCTCGGCTCCTTCCCAGTGACACCTCCCACCTCAAGTTCTTTGCAGAAACATCCTTCAGGCTGTCAAATGTTTGCTAACAGCATACGGTTTTCAGAAGGCAGAAACCCCAACTTAGGAGGGCTGGGGATTCTCCCAGTCCCGGCAGTGCCTATGTGGGTGGCAGGCGTTGAAAGCTTATGCTCGCTGCCATTTAGAGTCCAGTCCTCAAGTGGCGTCTCCTGCTGTGCGCCGGCTTCTGCTCCCTGCGCTGCCTCCACCCACCTGAGCAGTTTCTCCAAGAGCTGCACCTCGGGCAGGCAAACGGCAGAGGCAAGGTGGGAACGCAGTGCTGGGCCTGGACTGGAGTCTGAGCACCAGCTGTGCTGAGGCCACACGCTTGGGGTGATGGCCCAGTGGCCCACTGCCATGGGGTGAGGGGCAATGTGGGATCCCATCACCCCCAGTCTCTGCTCCAAACAAATAAGCTTCAGTTTCCACCCTGATGGCGTTTGGGGATGACCCATGTCCGACATGCTCAAGGCCAAGACTGCCGGGGCACTACCAAGGGCTAAGGGAATGGCTGCAAACGGGAAGAGGCTGAACGAGGAGCAGGATCGTTTCCACTTAGGCAGCAGCTGGAAGTGATCTTTTCCTGGTGTGAATGGGCAGCCTGAGCTTTTCTTAGAACGGCAGTCCTACTCCCCGTGCCCTCTCCCCAGTCCGGTTCTCTTTGGCTCATTCATTTGAGTGCAGATAGACCCACGAGTCACCAGCACTGACAAAGGTCTTCTCAGTAGTAGGACTGAAAGCCAAGAATTCCTCTCCGGGTCCCTTGAATTCTAGGAGCACGAGATCCTTGTCTGCAGCCCAGATGCTAAACTATTAAACGCAAAGGACCCTTGAGGAGATAAAATAATGTAACTCGTTCCGCAGCAGTTCTGTCCAGATGGCACCTTACCACACTGGGCTGTGGTTTGTATGAATTTCTGCTCTCCTCTCGTTTCTCGGGGCCAACTGCCACGCTTTATGCACCTGCTGTGGCAGGCAGTGAAGTTAAACCACGCTCAGGCCAGCTCTGGTCATAGGCGAATTTCACTTTGCCTGTGGAGTATGCAAAGGACTTTCTCGATTTGTTGTTGAAATTTGGAGCTTCATACGCACATCTAGACTCTGCAGCTTCTCTGGAAAATTCTGATGGGGTTCCACAGACCATACTTCTGCATGGTGACAACCTGCTAGAACTCAGGAGAGGCTGCCCTGCCAGGCAGATGCACTGAGCACTGAGACAGCACTTGGCCCTCGCATGCGAACTGCTTTCACTAGCTGTTTTTAACTACTTGGTCCTCTCAGGCGGCTGAGTTAGCGGCTCTGTTGGCATTGACCCGCGGCTCTGTCGGCATTGACCTGGCAGCAATGGAAGCGAAGGTCTCTACGTCTTAGCTCCACTAACGGTTTTCAAAACGTGCATGTTGAAGAGGCAGCATCTGAGTCTTGCCAGGAAGACAGAAGAGTGTCCAGGGAGGCACCTCTGAGGACATGCCACCCCAGCAGGAAGATGCTCTGCATAAACTGGCTGTCACCAGGGTGGCCTGTGGCCATGAGGGTTGGCTGACCTGGTTGCCACAGATCTTTCTCTGGTCCCGCCTTCTGGCAAAGGTGTACATCTGTGCAGGCTGGCAGAGGGGTGGCACTGGCTGTGCTGAGCCTCTGATGTGCGCTTCAGCTAACAGCACTCTTCGCCATGCTCACTCTTGCCTTTCCCACTCCAAGCTCCTAGCATGAGCACCAGGAAGCTGGCCCAAACACCCAGCAAAAAAGGCAGAGAGAAGGGCAGGGAGGGTGTGGTTCCAGGCTGAGGCACAGTGTGGGCACAAACATGGCAGGGGTTTGGGGAGGGCCTGGGGCTGTGGCAGGAGGTGCAATAGGCACCTTAGAACAGAGACCAAGAGGGAATGGCTGGGCCTCTGTCCCAGGGGCGGCTCCTCGACTGACTCCACAGGGCTGCTCTGGAGGCGGGACGGGAGCGGCGCTCTGTCCTAGGCTGTCTCTCTGCGGCCCTGGCCGACAGGAGCAGGCCGCGGAGTACAAGCAGCAGAACAAGCAAACCCAAGGAAAGTTCCTAAAAGGCCCAGTGCTCCTATAGAGATGAACAGTTCCACTTCCTGTTGCCACATTTTAAACTATTTATTGAATGAGGCAGTAATAGACAGAATGGAAAACAACACAGAATCCATGCTCTGCTACTGGGGTTTTGCTTTTTCTTCTTCTTCTTCTTGGCAACTTCTCAAACTATTAGGAGGTTATTTCACCACAAAGAAATGGACTTTAAAGTCCCTGGACAGCTTCACAATGACGATAAAAAAAATTTTTTTTTAAAAAAACAACAAATTGTCAAACTAGGACTTTTTATATGTAAATCTCCCTCCCCCCCCCATTACGTACAGAAAAAAAAACATACAAAGAACATTGGATAGTTTTATATAAAACAAGCAAATACAAGAATCTGAAACTTTTCTCAAAAGCTGAGCAAGACATGAAGAATCTTTTAATGTCGCATTAAAAAAACGCATTAAATACACTATCACACAGAGGGCCGGGGGAGGGAGGAAGAGTTGTCCCTGTACTCAAGGAGCAGAGATTTGGCCTGTCGAGTCGGGTGAATGTAGCACTGGGAACCCAGGGCTTACAGCCGAGAAATCACAGACGCAGTGTCACAAAGAACATCCAGACCAATCCACGCCAGGGCAGGAGGCTGTTCCAGGCCTGGGCCAGGCAGGACACTGACGCCAAGGTCCTTCAGAAACAGGGTCTGACCCGGGGGTGCAGGAAAACCTTCCATTCCTTCCTTTTCTCACACCCCAGCTATAGCCCAGCCTTCCTCGGCCAGGGCCCCAGCTCTTCTGCTGAGCGACAGGAAGTACCGGGAAGGAGAAAAACACTCCCACCGGTGTACCCTGGCCTTAAGCCCTCTCCCTCCTTCCTTTCCCCTACCAACCCCTCCCACCCCTTCCCATTCTCTCAGGCCCTCCCACCCCCCACACACACCCACAAGCACACTTAACACGCACACACTCCTTGAACCCTTAATACTTCTGTTACCTTCAGTTCATATGTATGACTGATTCAGGACTGACCTTAAAACCAAAGCAACATCTTAACAGTCAGGAGATCAAGAAGGTTTCCTGGGGAGGGGAGGAAGAGGAGGCCAAGGGAAACCCTCTAGTCCACCTAGCCTGGAGCTTTAAGGACATTCACCGGATGTGGCAAGGTCAGCACTTGGGCCAGCCCTGAGCGGCTCAGCTGCTGGACCCAGAGGGCCTTGGACCTTGCAAGTACAATTTCTGGACCCCACCCGGTTCTGGAACCTCCTCAGGTGAGTCTATCTGGGAGACTTCTAGGTGGCCACTGGGAGGCAGCTTTGGTGAAGGGCATGGTAACCTCCGCCTGAGTTTGTCAGTAGCTCAACGCATGACCCTGGTATGAACAAAAACCGGGTGACTGTGTCTGGCCACGTACCCTACACCCACTAAACTGGGTGAATTATTTTTTCCACAGCTCACCTTGATTTCATAAAGATAATTCCATGCGGGTTTCATATATATATATATATATATATACACATATATATATATACTTTATATATGTAAATGTGTAAATGTGTATATCCATATGTACACATATACATATATTCACACTCACACATACACACACGTAAGTATACACACGTTTCCGCAGAAAGAAGTCCTGCCACAATTTGGCTTTTTCAGGACAGTGAAATTGACAACGTAGTATCTCATTCCACCGATCCCAGAAAATCAAGAGTGGTGCTTTAAAAAATGCAATCCCAAAATCTGCTGCCTTTCTTCCTTTAAAAAAAAAGGTTAACAAAACTTTTCTTCCAAAGTCAAGAGACTTAATTCCATTTGATTGCACCTCTGCAAACGTGTAAAAAATCTTGAAGTAGACTAGAAAACGGTGCCATGATATGGCTGCATGTCACTGTTCCAATGTTACCACTTCCACAGCTTGGCCGTCCACGGTGACTGTGCTGTCCGATATCCTGGTGGTCACAGGGGCCATGGCCACCTGCACTGGCCCATTGCCCTGGGCGAGGCTGGTCACCACAGTCTGGTACATGCTCACAGGGATCTGGACCAGTCCTGGAAGACAAAGTGGGGGGACCATTGGTGGGGATGGGCTTAGGTTCCCAGATGCTAGCTGGACGGGGCAGTAGTTCCAACCCTTGGGGTATCACTGTCCTCAGCCCCAGGTAATCGCATGCCCATTGTCCTGGCAAACACCTCCTGCATTTTCTCACCACACTTTAATTCTCTGAAACAGGGCATAAGGAAGTAAACTGTAGGAATGGGTTTCAGGCAGGCCTCCCCAGTCTGCCTCCACAGTTGTCTATACCTAGTTTTCTCAGTTTGAAATAAAACTTCTTCCTCACCATCACTCTGTCTTTTGGCCACCATCCTTCCTTTCAGAGTCAGTTTATTTATTTTAAAAAGGATTTATTTCTTTGTGCATACAAGAACTGGGGTCAAGGCCAGAGGTAAGAGTGGGAAGGGTGCGAAAGCATTCACCAGAGATGAGTGGGGAGCAGAACAGGCGGACTGACTGAAATCCACTGCTGAGGGGAGCAGTGGGCGGGTCAGGAGAGGCCTGCCACGCCACGTGCATCACCTACCTCCCTGGCTGGGGATTGAACTTGTGCTGCAGTAGCTTCATAGTGCTGTGCTTTAATCCAGTGCACCACCAGGGAGGACCCATATTTCAGATTTATAGCATAGAAATGCAATGTTTTTATTTTAAAATATGAAGAATTAAAAATAAATCCAACAGATGAAATGTGTCCCACAGAAAGATGAGAAGATGAAGTCAAGGAAATCTTCCAGAGGGTAAAAAAGATTAAAAGATAGAAAGTAGGAGGTACTATCAGACTCAAGAGGTTCAAACTTTGATGAAAGAATTCCAGAAAGAACAGAACAGAAAGTAGGGAATTATCAGACATGTAATAAATTTCTGAAAATGCAAAACAGATTCCAGAGATAGAACAGGCCCATCAGGTGACCAGCACAACAGATAAAAAAGATCCAGGCACTGACACACCTCTGCTAGAATATGAGAGATAAAGGAAAAGATCTTAAATGACTCTATAAAGGGGAAAAATATATAGACAAAGAACTGGGACTTGATGGAGCACTACCTTCAAATGTCAGAGAAAATGTGTGCAGCCTGGAGTTCTAGACCCAGTCCGTAAAATGTAACCCCATCAATTAAAAGCAGGAGCAGAGAAGGCGATCTTCAGACCTGTAGGAGCTCTAAAAATCGGCCACCATGCAGGCCCCTCAGAAACGAGAGAGGAGCTGAGAGGAAGTGGCGTGGGATGTAGAAGACAGACAACCGCCAAGGCTGCTGGGGCAGGCGGAGGCTGCCAGCAAGGCTGACAGGACGGAGCGGGGTCTGAGCGGGGGTTTCCAGAACAGAGGAGGGCGGGTGATTGCTACTTAGAAAAGCAGAAAAGAAACAGGTACTACTAACCATAATAATCATAATATACTCCATCTTCACAGTGAGCCTTTTTAATGTGGTTATAATAATATAAACATAGAAACTGAGTTATCAAAAAGTGTGATAATGTCTCAAGAAATGATGGTGTAAGACTATTATTTAGAGCATTACAGATACATATCAGAAGAAAAAGCCTCTGGGTACAGTCCCTTTTTTTTTTTTTTTTTGGAAGGTCTATTAGCCCTTTGACATTTAAATCCATGTTACTTCCATAAAAATTTTTTTACATAAGAGATGTTTTATCAGAATATTTTAATGCAGATAAGAGACAAATACAAAATGTTAATTTTCTATGGTAAAAATTACATTTTCATTGCTTCAATCCTCTCTTCTGGTTAAAACAGACAAGGTTAATGAAAACCCAAAACACCCAGTGGGCACATCCAGTCACCCAAGTTATCCTCCACAGAGCAACCAAAACAGACACAAAGGTCAGCCGCACAGCACCGCTCTTGCTTCTGGGCTGGGTTCAGCTCCCTAAAGCTCCAAACTTGAGGAACGAGTCTCTCAGTCTACAAATACAGTGGTTTCTGTCAGGAGGGAGATTCAGCAGCCATCCTAGGTTAGGGCTAGGTGGAGAAAAACTTAATTGCGAGAGTGAAATTTCTTTCACCCCATTTTATAGTGTATTTGGGTCCATACCCAACACTGATGTTAAAACAGTTTTTAAGTATCATGAAAGATGTGCCCCAGAACAAAAACAGAGAAAGATTCAAATGCAAAAATATATATTGGCTAATACTGCTATAGCCAGAATATACATTTATCTTTTACAATTCTTTTCAGTCCAAATTCCTCTGCGGGTATTTACAGCCCTCACGGCAGCCCGTTTTCCAGTCCAGCTCGGTGACCCACAAGTCCCCAGCCCCGGTACACTGCAGCCAGTAAGCGGTGTCGCTGAGGTTCTCCACACACAGACGCCTCTGCTCTGCACACACCGGACAGCTTGCAATGGCTGCCCTCAGCTTCTCCCTGTAAGGGGTTCAGCTCCAGTCTCCCTTCTGGAAGCCTCACAGTACTTTGCATTGGCCCCCATGGAGGCGACAGTCAAATTCAGTTATCACTGTTTGCGGTGAGTTCCTTAGGAGGCTGGAGTTATCATCTTGCAGCCCCCAGCATTCAGCTCAGTGAGTGTTTTTTCTGCCTATGAATGACACCTGCCTTAGGAGATTTACCAGGTGTGGCTCCTAGGGTGAGTGACTGCAGTGTGTGAATCTTAAGAATGACTGGGCTGTTTTAGAATGGGAACTCCCTGTCCAGAAACAGCAGTCAAACACTACTACAGGACTCCAACATGATTCAGGCTCAACATGATAGAACCTTTTTTTTTTTAAGATTTCATCTTGTACTTCACCTCACAATTAGAGGAGTCAATCTGGCCTCTACAACTGGGTGATGAAATCACTCCTACACAAAGCTATCTCAATAGTGAATACCTGGTGACATGTCTGAGAGGCTTTTCAGAGGGAGAAACTCCATATACAGGGTCATTTCATAACTGCAAATGCCTTGAAATCAGATTCCATTATTTTCTACATGCAGTTTTAGTCTACCTCCACCTTAAATAAATGCATTGCCATTTGCCATTCAACTGAGGGGATCTTAGAAAACCAGTCTCTCTCTCTCTCTCTCTCTCTCTCTCTCTCTCTCACACACACACACACACACACACACACACACAGAGCCATCCTGACATAGGATTAAACCAAATCATCTCAGTGTCTGACCCAGCAGCCTTTATGGACATAGCCAGGGAAAGGGGGAGGGGCCTGAGACCCAACATGCAATAGGCTGGTTGGTTGCCCTTGGAAGAAAGATGATTAAATGCTGAGGCACCTTAATCAGGCGAGGGCTGCATCTGCCCAACCTGCCCCTGATTAGCCCTAATCTAGAAGGCGTCTGTTGATTTAAGCTGGTATTCTGGGGCTTTTCGACTGACTGAGCAACAGGAAGCCCTTCAAAGTTTACTTTAAGGACTTGGTGCTCTTTTTTGTCTTTCAGGGCGACCCTCCATAGTTTTAGATATCAGACTCTTGGCACCCATCGGCCCTTTCAAAGCCCTCTCACACCCTTTCCACAGCATTTGTCTTCTGCGAGGACACTGGAGAAAGTGGCACGGCAGGGCAGGTGTTCTTTTCACAAACGACGGAACCAAAGACACATGAAATCCTGAAGTTTTAGTACCCATTTTCAACGCAGTCTTTCAAAGTTATAAGAAATTTACAGTTAACTCAGTTTAGGAAATTCAAGCCCCTTTCTTTTTCTCTAAACTCAAAAACAAACAGATAAAATGTTTCTTTAAAATAAATACATAAATAGGGCCCTTCCCGCACAGCACTAAGAAGCTAAAGCTGCTTCAGTGTGAGTTCGATCCCGGTCCAGGAGGTGATCCACATGGCGCGGCAGACCTCTCCTGACCCGCCCGCTGCCCCCCTCAGCAGTGTACTTCGTTGATCTGTCTGTTCTGCTCCCCACTCTGTCTCTGGTGAATCCTCTCACCCCCTGCATCTCTGGCCTGTATCCCAGTAATGTATGCACAAATAAATAAATCTTTTTAAAAAATAGATAAATATGGACTGAGACAGTGATTTTTACCCCCCTTGAGATGGCCACAGTACAGCAGTCATCCAGGTTTTTGATCTGGAATCTTCCATGCACCAGGTACTTTACTATTGGCACTATGGCCTGCAGGGACCCAGGAGAGGGCTGCGCTCCTTGGGTCACTGCTGCCTCTCCATGTAGGCTTCTCGGCAAGTTTTACAGGATTGATCATAATGGAAAAGCAGTCAAAGATGACTCGAGATCATAAGATGTTGGCGCAAGGACTTCCTTGCTAAGCAGCAGTAGACCAAACTCCCTGAAGGACTGCTGGCTCTAGGACAAGGCTCTGGAAAAGACAATGAGGCCAGATCCTGCCCTGTTTTTCTAACAATTGGGTATCATTCTTGAGCCCAATCTTCTCCCATCTCAAAAAGTGGCAATTACACCCTTCCTATAGCTCAGGCCAAACTCCATGAAGCCAAGACATCTCTGACCACATATGCAATCAATACAGCAGCTAATCTGTCCATGTCAACCCAGAACTGTACCTCCTCTCTGGCTACCTGCCTCTACCTATGCTACCTTGTAGCCTCCTTTGTGATAACTGTCCTGCTTCAGGCCTTGCCCCACTCTAGACGATTCTCCTCCAAACAGCAGTCAGAGGGCTCTTATAAAACAGCACATAAAGTGATGGACAGGGGACCCGATCTGAGAATTCAGACTCACAGGCTGGGCCTGGCTCTAGATACACCCAGCATATTCCCTACCCACAGCCTTTCTCCCTTCTGAGTCAAATCCCCTCTGGGAGAGATACACGACTGACCTCCAAAGTGGCCCAACTGCTTGAAAGATCCCTAAAAGCATCATTCTTAAGTAGCTTGCTCCCCTTTTAGGAGAACCTTTTTTTTTTTAAAGATTTATTTACTTATGCATACAGAACTGGGGTATAGGCCAGAGGTGCATGAGAGGATTACCAGAAACATAGTGGGGAGCAGAACAGACAGACTGACGAAGCACACTGCTGAGGGGAGCAGCAGGCGGGTCA